TATATATATTACTTTAATTTAATTTTCTCAACACATGTTTAAGAATAATAATTATGATGATGATAATTGTGATTAAATGATGGTGATAACAATAATAATAGTAATTGACAATATCAAATGCATTTCATAAAAAAAAACTAATGTAATACACATATCACGCTGCAATACATGTTAATTGAAAAAATAAGAGCATTGGGAAGAATGTTTACCTGCACTAGTGCCAGTGGTATGGTCAACAGATGGACCAGTGTTAGCAGACCCAGTACTGCCCTTCTTTCTAGTCCAATCAAAATCATCTGTTGTATCTTCAGTCCAGCCACAATTATCCAACTCAAAATCACACATTTCTGATGTGGAGAAACAAGCAAATAACTTATTTGAGACAATGTGAGCAATATTATACTACTTAGGCTTCAGGAGTTATGTCAGATGAACATAGAGTTACCACAGGTCTCTTAAATATTGATTTTTCCTAGGGTTAGAAGCTTTTGAAGACCCAAGTAAGTTGTTTACTCTACTAACTCAATTGGCAGTCAATAAAATTAGAAGACACTTTTGTTGTTCACTTACTTGATGGTGGACAGGCGCCTTGTGTATAGTTAGTGTCATCAATAGCAATGTCGCTTTCGAAACTACTGCCAATGATACCCTCAACCAACACCTAACAAAAGGATATAAAAACATGATTACTAAACTGAAAATTCTCAAAAAGCTCAATTCTACTACCGTACTGCTAGTACTCAATAGAATCTGTCAGTAATTGGTGTGTAAGCTATAGATCTATCTATGTTTCATTATGGAAACACTGACATTTAATGTTAAGTTTTTCTAGATAAAGCTCTGTCCAGTCCATCAAATTTCACTAGAAAAAAAAAGTACTATACATGCCTAAATATGAAAATAATGACATCACATCATGATCATATATAGGCACATCATGACCATATATAGGCACATCATGACCATATATAGGCACATCATGACTATATATGGGCATACAACAGGATTTTTGGTCAAATAATATTTGATAGTCTAGACAGAGTTTAGTTCTTGTAAATATTCACATAAATATATTTCTATCTGTTAAAATTCCTTGATATAACAGTACATAAAGAGGCTGACAAAGTATGAAAGTAGATGAGGACAAATAAAATAAGCAAAAGAAAAAAAAACTTTTAAAGAATTATTATACATGCAAGTATGCATGTTCTCCTTACTAGGAAGTCAACACTGCTGACAATAGTGATTTCTCCAAACAGCCACTGATTGCCCTGTGTACCTCGCCGCAAGAATCTTTTTGTCAGACTGTTGGGATCATTTATCTCTTGAGTAAATACTTGTAACCTTCCAACGTTTGCGCCATACATGTGGTACCAGAAGCTGAAACAGTTGCCGTCATTTGGTGTTGGGCCTCTAGTAGAGGAGTACAGCCAAGCTGTGTCACCTTTGACACGGGGGCTGGACGCTTCCGTAAACAAGTAATATCCTGAAAGATAAGCAAGTGTCAAAATCAAGCAGCAACACTATTAGTAGTTAAAATACTAAAGGCTGTGAGAAAGTTTGAGGGTCATGGATAACCTCTACACCTGGAATTGGCTTTTCAAACAATTTAATAAAGTCCCACGTTGCTAGAATCTTTACTCATTCAACAAATATTACTGAGTTGAAACTTAGTACGGCCTATGTGTTACAGACTTAGATTCTTCTCATATTAAGTGTAGATGTTGTTGGAACAGCCAGCAACAGGAATGGTCAGAATCATATCAACGTTAGATATTTTCAGTCTGTATGCAAGCAGGCGAACACAAGTATAAAGCAAAATCGTAAATGAAGTGTCCAAAATTATACCACTATGATATTCTTACAAATAGTTCGAAAAGATCCTAATTCAGTGTGTTAAACTGAGAAAATATCTTGTTACAATAACAATATTAATAATAATAATAATAATTATCATTATTATTATTACTATTATTATTATTGTTATTATTATTATTATTATTAATATTATTATAAATTTTTACAAGTAGTAACATTTTGTCTACATGAGAATTGGGTATTAGTACAGACTATATATAGTCTGTGGTATTAGTTTTGCCTTCTGAATATTTTAACATTTAAAGACCCTTCTTATAAAAAAAACAGATGCTTTGCTGTAGAAATGATGCGTTAGGAATGTAGAATATCCAGTTTCTTACCTGTTCCCGTAGTGTGATCGGATCCTGGCCCTGAACCAGTAGATGGTGTATGTGAATTTGTTCTCGACCAATCAAAGTCATCTTTAGTTGTTTCCTGCGTCCAACCACATAAGCCGATTTCAAAGTCACAAACAATATCATTATTGATCGAAAGAGCAGGATCTGCTTTTGCTGGTAAAACTGATGGAAAAAAATGTCGAATAGGGAATGAGGACGATTGTTAGGGAGACGGTTGGTACGTGGCGCCCTGGGTCGGACTGTTCTACGTACTAGTTGGTTATTCCAGGTAATTATTCAAAAATAGACTGAAGAAATATTTAAGACAAAGATATTAATAGCATTAAATGTAATAATACTATAGAGTACAACAGTCGTGTCGTCACAACAGCAGGTGGCGTCCTCTGTTGTCAACCGGACGTTGGTTTAGAATAGGCTTTCTGAAATAGGCAATTTAAAACCTAATAATTTACCATTAAAATGTACTAAAAACACAAAAGCTCATATTATATTAGTTATTGAACACACTTTGTCATTAATTAAAATTTACAAAGAAAAATTAAGATACAACATCTTAATAATTACATTAGAAATTGAGAACAATTGCCTTTATAAATTACCAGTATGTCATTATTTCATGTGTAAAAAAAAAAAAAAAAAGTTATTAAACTAAGAAAAGAGAAATGAAATAAAAGTGGGTGCAACTTCCACAAAAGAGAAAAAAAAAAAAGAAACTGAGAACAATGGTTTGTCAGTAGAGACAATGGGTCCGGTTGGACGCATTTTGTGTCGCCGATAGCAACGAAGTAGTATCATGTAATATTGTGATGTAACACTGTAGTACTCTACGAGATATTGGTACACAACAAGTTTATCTTATTTGTTTTATGAGTAGGTGTGACTGTTTATAAAAGAAGCCAAATTGAAATTCTAAAAGTTTTACAATCTTCAGGGTGCTGGTTGGGATTCATTTTAACATGTTATTGACTTTTTGTTTTCACATGTATAATTGCTTACCTGACAATTTAATAAAATTAAATAAAAAATGCATATTGAATAATTATTTATGGGTAATGTAAAATCACTTTTAGAATTCTCTAAAAATATGTCATTAATTTACTTTGGCAATCATTATCCAGTAGTGTAATATCGTCAATAGCAATGTCACCACGATAATCAGGACCTTTGACGGCTTCAAATATAATCTAAAAAATAATTGAGAAAAAAAAATATGGATAAACAACTAGGCCAACATAAAAGATGAGGCAAGTTCTGCTAAAGGAAGTATATACAAGTTGTTTCAGGTTGTCTGTCAGTGACACAGAATTTACATTTGCAAATCTTGAGATGTGAAACATCTTTCAAAATTACATTTGTAATGCTAGTGTTACCTTCTATAAAAATTTCAAATAGAACTTGAAAACTGATAGTTTTATTTCACTATAACCAAAGTTTATGTGAATATGTTTCTATGAGATTCTTCATAATTGATTCTGTGAGATTCACTGAAAGCGGATTTACAAGTTCTAACAACTGAATAAGCACTAAATACATAAAACTATGTTAACTTAATCAGCATCTTCTTACTTACAATCCATTTATATGGTGATACAATGCCGAACTGGCCACTCAACCATTTGTTCTGGTCAGCACTCTGCTCTCCGTACAATGTCCATGACTTCACTTCATTTGTACCATTGTATTCAGCTACATAGATGTTTAAAGAGCCAATATCCAGACCAAACATATGATAATAGAAGCTGAGGCATTTGCCAGAGGTAGGGTCAAAGACCTCACTTTCCAAGCGGGCACTCTCCCCAGACAACTGCGGGTTAGACGTCTCAATAAACATATAGTAGCCTGTCAAAAAAAATAATAATAGACATAATTTTTATGTTATTTTGCAATTTATTTATTTATTTATACATTTATTTATAAAAATAAATATTTATCTATAAAAATAAATATTTATTTATTATTTTAATATTTTAATAATTTAAATGTTAATTTGTTTTAAAAATTGCTATACAAATTAGGTATATTTGATACATTTTAAGTGGAGGAAATATCTTGCTTACCAGTAGCATCTCCTTTAGTGTGGTCATTATTAGGTCCTGTAGCAGTACTAGTCGTTCCACCTTGACCTCTCAGCCAATCAAAGTCATCATCAAGAGAATTGGAATACAAACAATACCCATTTTCAAAATCACATTCTCCTGAAATTGCGAACAATTAATGCGAATATGTCATATTGAGATGATGTAAGACATTGAGGCGAGGCATTGGTCTACAACTCTGTTAAATCCAGATAAATAAGCATTTAGATGTATTGAAAACAGGTTTAAAGTAAATTAACCCTGATGTAAAACTAACAATATATAATTAAATAGAAAGGAAACACAAAATTCACATTAAGAACACTATTATATAAACGGAAATTGTCGAAAAACTATAAAACCTGTGTATCATAATTTAAAAATTTCAACAATTTCTTTTCATTACAATATTAATTCCGATCTATTTTTGGACTTATCTCAATATGATTTTATAAACAATGTATTTTAATTAATGGAAATTTTACAATGCTTAACTACAATTAGCAATCATTTTTTGGAGTCACTATAACAAAAATTAAATTTCATCATACAGACCATGTTAAAAATCAAAACTGTTTTTTGTGTAAAAATGTGGTTTTTACCTGGAGCAGGACAATCACCGTCAATGTAGAAAACTTCATCAATGGAGATATCACTACGCATGCCATCTCCACGAATGCCCTCCAAGAACACCTGGTAGTCAACGCTGCTGGAGATCTCAACCACGCCCTGTAACCAACGGTTACCAAAGTCACCTGACTTACTCCACAGAATCTGATTGGTGCTTCCAGTCTACAGGACATGAATAAATCATAATATTTATATAACACAGTGTGGGAGCTTTTGTTTAAAGTAATACAATGTTTTACTCTAAACAAATAGTATATAAAACTACAGTATATCGTATACACTACATGCAGAACGAATTTTACCTTGTAACCGAAGTTTAGAGTTCCCATATTTACACCATACATGTGATAGTAGAAATGCCAGCACTGTTTTGGTTTACTTGAGTCAAAAAGATGTGTTGTTGAAAACAGGCGGGCTAAATCACCAACTTTTCGAGGAGAGGAAGTTTCAATGTATAGGTATTTTCCTGTTAAGCAAACACATAAGAAAATATATAAAAACCATATAAAATCGATACATAATAATATTAATGGTAGACTTATATATAGCGCATATTGTTATTGTCCTCTATGCGCTTCATATTATCATTAACCCGGTCATTGGATTAAATGCTTATGGACCACAAACTCAAGTTCCCTGGGGTAGTATTCCATAACGTTGCAGCAGCTACATCAGCGCATTTTGCCATTTAACCAGGTACCCACTTATACTCCCCACTCACCACCGAGTGGGGAGTGCTTATATAATTATAATACCTGTACATAAAAGAATAATAAATTATTTACCATATCCCGTGCCATATGTGATATCTGTAGGTGGTCCAGTGTTTGTAGTACCGGTTGACCCACTACCAACCGTCCAATCAAAGTCATCGTTTTGATCTTGGGTGTACCCACAAAGATTAGCATCTTCAAAGTCACAAGCATGGTAGCCTTTAGGGAGAAACAAAGATTAATCAGACAGAAATCACAATTAGAAATATTTGGTTTCACATTTGAACATTAGCAGGCTAGGAATGGCCTGACATCATAAACAAATCACTATACACACAAGCAGGATTTAGCAGAAAAAGCTTAAACAAAACAGCAGTAATGCTGTTTGTATATGAGTGAAATTGGTATATATCTACAAAGTATTCTGGAATCTTCCCAGACATGGTCTATCAAATATTCTGATACCAAGAACCATATATGGGTATGACATTCCATTATCATGCCCATATATAGGCACTTAAAAATAATATGCCCCACACAAGGTCTATCTTATATGCTGATATCACAAACCACATATATCATGGCCCACATATGGGTATGACATGACATCATCATGCACATATATAGGCAATTCAAACAAATCTTACCAGGACAAGGTCCATCATATATTCTTATATCATCCAGAGCCATATCACCATTGTAGCTTGAGCCAATAACACCCTCAAACACAATCTGAAATTAAAGACAGCAACCATGATGATAAAGCTTCTTATACCTAATTCAAATCAGACTCAGTAATAGAGGAGAGATAGGTACAGTACAATTTTTTATTTATTCACAAATTAAAGGCACTTTAAATATAAACTGCAAAACAGTTGTGGAGCCAGCAGGAGACGAATGGGG